TTCATGCCTTAATGCTGCATTTCACACACACACACACACCCCAGTCTAACTTCGCCTGAAAGCAGAAGAGTACACTCAACATTAATCAAAAGTTTGCAGGAATTTCCGATTTCAATTTTTACACAGCACCCTTCCAACCTTTTGGCAAAATTATGCAGAAACTAATACACCTCCAGCCAAATCATCTCTTTTACAAAGATAGAAGCGAGTGGAATATTAGTTATCCATGACTTAAGACGCCTTCTAGAAGTTTTCCACGATTTTCTTTGATTTCAGTGTAAGGAGATATCCATTTTAAATTACAAGATTACGCATTTGGGATTTTAAAACAGCTTAGTTTTCAAATTTATTTTTCCACACCAAAAAAAATGCCGAGCAAACTGGGCCATTTAAGAAACTTAAAAAAATATAACAGCGTTTATAATGTTTTATGTCATCAAAGCCCTCGCAACAAAAGTACTCTTTTCTTAAAGCGCTCCTCGTAAAAAAGATGAAGATGAAGAAGAAGAAGAGGTGGAAAGGAAGCGGGAGAGAGTGAGCGCGCGCGCGCTGTGGACGGTTCATGTACGCGGTAAACATAACCACTCGAGCAAACACCAACAAAGTGGAAGATGCCCACACGCACACACACACACACACACACGCACACACACACCGGTAGCTAACTGGCCAAACAGCCACGCACACACCTGATTGGTCAGGATCGTCGTAAGCTTGACCAGCTTGGCTCTGTCATTGTGTCAACACATTAAACGGCACGACGACAGGCATCACAACAATGAGCGTGAGAGGGCGAGGGGGAGAGAGGGGCTAGGGGATTAGCGAGACTTGCGCGCATGCCAGCTAAAGCTGTTTTGGGGGTAAATGAGTAAGGAAAAGCCCCGTTAACAAAAAGGATAATGACAAGGTCATTAACTCTGGGAAGAAGTCCATAATTACTGAGAAAATAAGAAATAACAAAATGGCAGGGGTGTTAAGGCTATCACAGGTATAACTGTGTTAGCATGGGTCATCAAAGCCAAGTATTTGACAGTTTTATTCGTATCAGTTTTTATGCTTTTCCACTTTAGCCCCTTCTTCTTCTTCTCAACTGTGTTTGTTTGAAACGATTTCATTAGAAAGTATGACCCTCCTCATTTGAGAGTTACTGCACGACGAAGGTTTGTTATTATCACCACACCATAGATTTTAGATCACATCCCCGATAAAATCGAACGCAATTGATAGAGCAATAGGGTCCAACTTGTTTTTACTTGAACGTTATTGTCTTGAACAGTGAAGAGTAGCTAAGTATGAGACGATAGAATCCGAGATCAGAAGACTGTGGCGAAAATATGGTCACCTCACTAAATGTTTACTTTGTATTCAGTTAATTTGCATTAAGTGTACGATAGACTTACTTCCACGTTGTTCACCCTGGGCAACGTATACTCATACGACAAAAAAGTCTATGAACCGGCAGTTGACTTCAAACTACCATGACCCTACTGTATGTCGAATTCGACCCCTTCAGAAGTACTCACCTTGCTTTTCTCTTCCTTTGTGTTGTCCGACTCTTTCACATCTGTTTGTGACTTTGGTACTCCCTCTGTGAAGCCCAAAGTCAACTTTAGAGATAATGATGACTATCTTAAAGTCTGCCACCTGATGCAAATTAACTTGTAGTGAGTTAAGCAGATGTATTGATTTATGCTCCTTGAGGTACATTTATACTTCGTTCTGCTCACAATTGTTGGCACAATTAGGTAAATTGTTCAGTTAAGAAATGAAACCCAGGAAAAAAGAATCAGATTTTTACCAACATTCCTTATTGGTACATCCTTTCTCGTTCTTCTTTTAGTTTTAAATGTACAATTTTTGTTCCTACTAAAGTGAAAAAAATGTACGATTTGTCAAATTGGCTTGCTTACACATTTTTGGCCAAAAGCACATCAAATGACGTAACAAATATTTAAATTAGCTTGCATAATAGTAGGAATAGGTTTTGAACCTGCGCAAGCCCCAACTCCCTCGGGAAATTCAGCCAATGAGTGGATGTCTCGGGATGATAATTAAATGTTAATGCTCAAATTTAATGAGATCATATAGCTGCATAGTTATAGGTGCGGAGAGGTAAATTAAAACAAAGTGAGTGTCACTAAAGGTTGACTGTGTGGTTAACTGCGAATTTAATGGATTGCCCGAATGGGGGGTGGTGGTGGTGGTGGTGGTGGTGACTGCCTTCTCTATTTAAGCGAACTAACGTTAATCAGCGAATGCGACGTAAACGTGGATGGATGTGATCCTTGGAGAAAGTGAAGAAGAGAAACACCTTCACTGAAAATTTGATATGGTTAAGTTTTATGAATCGTTGGTCATCACTACTGAGATGCCTAGTTAGGCATTTGGCAACAGTTAAATCGAAATGTAACTAACAAAACTCAAGAGTGGAAGTATATACGGACTTGGATAAATGACAACTTAGCCCTATTAGGTCAAGGTCACATGGGTCTCAAAGTTGCTAAACTGGAATGGTACCAATTCCTAAAGACGTGAGTCTATGGGGAATTAAGTCTCCATGCATAAATTCTGTGCACTGAATCTATAAACTCCAGATTCCGTCCTCGATGGTGAAAGATCATAAGTTGGATATGAGCTAAGGGAGTTTGGCCAGAATTATTATTCAAGATTACATTATTTATATTATTAATCCTCGAAGCTTAGCAAAAGCACAATTTTCATTAGTAAAAAAACATCTGGAATAGTAAGATTGTCCAATGAGACTATTGAGCATATGTTGAGGTATTACTTCAGCTCCCATGCACTCCATACTTGTTTTGTTTTAAGTAAATTCTTTATCACGATAACGCATTTTTCTTACTCTGATATAAAACAGTAGCATTCTCAAATGCAGATCGCTCTTTTTTAAAAATTGGAAGTTGCAAACTAACCGAGTTGAAATGGGTTTCCTGATGGGTGTTGAGAGAAAAAGGAGTTGGTAATGATCCGGCAGACTGTTTGTAGGGAGACCGAAATCAGCAGCAACTGTGGTGGAACTACTTCCACGAAAGAGGGATTGGTGATTTTGAAGGAGATTGGGAAAATCCCCGTCGTATTTCTCATTCACATGAGCGACACTTCGACGCAGATGAGGGGAACCGAGTCGATTGATATTCTGTCCCGAGCCCAGGCGACCAACCGACTTTGAGCGTCTTTAGTGCAATAAATAATGCCCATTGGAGATATTTGCACAAATTTTAGGTCGAAAGTGTTCGTTCAACTTACTTTTCAGATGAGATTATTCCTCCACCAGAGTTGTATGAACTTTCTATCAATTGCTGTTGAGTTCTTCCACAGTATCTGCAGTAATCAAAGGTATTAAAATACGTTGTCACTATGTCTATAACCTTGAATTTACAATAGTTCGCAGATCTAAGAGACTACATCAACCAAACGCCATTTAGCCATAAAGGTGGATAATTTGTAAACATCCACGTGGTTTATTCTTAAGGGTTTGTGGAAACTTTAAATGCAAAAAATCAAGTAAGTACTAAAAATTATTATTCTTGAATATGGAAGATTCAAATAAAAAAATCCTCAAATGTACCAATAGATGGAGTTATGATTAAAGAAAAAACAATTTCTGCTCAATCTCGAGAATCGAACCCCTTCAGACTTTCACTTCTCATTTCGTTCTAAACAAGCCTCCTTTGTGCTAGGCATTGGACCAATTGTACCAAAAATTTTGATCAAATGGACGTCATGAAAAGCATGTTGGAACGGCGTAAAGTTCATTTCTCGAATAATAAAGAAAATTGGAGTTGATTAATTTTTATTGTTTACTATCATTCCTATATTGTGTGAAATTCCTAATCCTTGAAGTAAAGTACTAGCCTGTGTTAGCATAGGCCTTCTATTAGTTCTATTAGTCTAACTTTTAACTGTTTAATTAGGCATTTTTTGGCTACGATTTGAGTTGATTTCCTGTTGTTTAACTTCCTGGCTTAGTGAAGTGATACACACATAAACACAAGTACACCAATTAAAGTACAATTCAATTTTGCGGAATGATAGAAAGTGTAGCATAGGATGGCGATTGTATTAAATCAAATTGTTCAAAAAGCCATGCTCGGCTTGAATTGTTGCTTGCAAGTGTAACTTACAGTGAAACCTTATTTCTTCTTTAAATGGCAATCTCTTCTCATTAGACTTCTAGTGATTTCATCTCAGATGGACATAGCCTGATAAAAGCGTTGACATCGAATTAAACATAAAGGCCCTTTGGTAGTATTAGTAATCAATATTATTGCCAATTTGTGACGAAGAAAGCAAACGGGAAACATCTGCTCCACGAAAATCTAGGTCACATAAGCACATCCAAGTAGGCCAAAGGTCGTTTAGGGAAAGTGGGGTAACACAGTAGAGCATATTGGTTGGGGGGGGGTTATTACTTAGGCTAAGGTACGCAAATATATGCATCCAACATTCTACCTAACTAACTTCATAAGAGCCATAAAAATGAACATTCTACCAATTCATCTTTTGCTTATCTTCTCTGACCTGATAGTTTTATGCGTGATGAGGACCACTTTCGGCGAAGTGGCGCAAAATTATTAAATTTAATAATCAGAGAGATGTGAGCAGTCTTTTGAAAAGTCCATTCTATAAGCATCATAAGTTAGGGAAGACATTTGCAGAGAAGTCAATTGCTTTGCATTATGGAGATTTAACAAATTGAGTTGAAGGATATTTGCCTCCCCTAATTGCATCAAATTTTCATTACTTATTTGCCAAAAATATGCAGAAACTAGCAGAATCACTGGTTGAGTGGTCAAAGGAAGGTGCAGCCAGATCATAAAAGTTCTCTTCAAAAACACCTGAAGAAGCTACCTGACAACTGAAGAGGAACATGGACAGTATGCCATGACTTGCCTTAATCAAAAGAAAGACTTCTATTTTTGCCTCTCCCTAATATCAATACAATCGAAAATGACTGATGGAGATAGTAAAGTTGTGAGTACTTACCGATAAGACGATCCTTTGCTGAAAAGGCCCTGGTTACGACTGGAAGCCTTGAGACTAGCACTACGACTGAGTCTGGACAAACCATCACCACCGCTCGTGCTCCCGTTACTATTTCTCTCAATCAAAGTACCGCCATTGTGTCCCAACTCCTCAGCACAACGGAGACTCGGTTGAGAGGCATAAGGATGAGCAGATGGCGCTGAAGACATCCAGATTCCCGAGCCGAATCCTCCCAGTCCTCCTCCGCCAGCCCCAGCCTCACCTCGAATTTCTCGAGACCGGAAGAAGGCATGGTGCTCGAGGCACTTTTTCCAAAAATTTTTACAAGCATCACGAGTGTCAAAGTTGAATTCCACAGTATCCTTCCCAAAGGGCTACGCGGAAGTTCGAAATGCAGGAAGATATATATATATATATATATATATATAAAGTGCACTACGCAAAATTCATACAATTTATTTTACTTTATGCACACAATATGAATACATTACAAAGTAGATAATGTAACATTTAAAGAAAAAGAAAAATATAAATATTTTACAGTCTCTTCGGAAGGGTTTCAGTGATGTATTTGTAAATGATTTATGGGCGTAGGTGAAACAAAAAGTTGTGCCCATTGAATTAATATGCCTTTGAAGAAACTTGAATATAGCCGTCTTACCTTTGATTTCTATTGATTATTTCCACTAACGCCATTCAATTCTGCCTTTCTAGACGCGATATGTATGCTACTGTCGGGCATAAAATCCCCCCCCCCCCCCCCCAATAATAAACAAATAGCAGAAAATTTATTGGGTCCATTTAATCATCAAAGTAGTTAGTTATTAATAGTATCAACTGCGATTTAGGCAGACACTCACACTACAACTCTCATGGCAAAGATTAATCTTGATTAGCCATTTTTTAATTGTTGAGATCTCAAATTGATAGTGACGCATCTTTTTAGGCTTAAGACCTGTGGAGGGGACAACACTGTCATGCCTGATCAAAATCATCCGGGGTGTGTGCGTGCGCGCATACACCCAATAGTGTATTGAACAAGCCAATCATCGATCAAGGTTCATGCATTGTGTCGTTAATTTTACCCAATTATTAAGCAGTGTTCAGAAAATTCCAACACACTATCATATTTTCTTGTTACTTTGACCACTGCCGAGATATTTTCACCCTTAATATATGAAATATACACTTAATAAATAGTCTATGGAAATTTCATTCCAATTTCCAGTTAAGATAAAAGCATAATTGAAGCTGTCAAGCTTTGGTGATTGAAGAGATGCCAAAACAATATTGTTAGCATTGACCCTAAGATTTATAGTACGACAACGTGAGACTCTCTACCAAAATTCGCCGTAACCTCGTAAGGAGTAAAGGGGAGGGGGTAGTGGTTTTTGCAAGATGATACGATTTCAAAGTCAATCTTACCTGATTAGATTAAAATTTATTTGCCAGAAGAAAAATATCAAAAAATTTTTATGTTTAAAAACTAATTTGGTTTGAAGAAAAAAAATACAAAAAAGATGGACGTAAAATTTATACAAGAATAACACGCATTCAAGTGAGAGTTCTGTGTTTCTCCAAAAGCGTGTGTCCTAACTTAAGAGTGAAATATACTGCAGTACTGTAATGCCGTCTATATTAGGGTTTTGCGTAGTTGCAAATAAATAGCACTTTTAAACTTAAAGCACCACACATTCCACAACTTGCAGGGGGGAAGAAAGAGGGCGAAAGACCTACCTCTATTCCGGGATGAAGTTTGATAAGAAATTTCGAGCGTTTGAAGCTGAGTTTGCGAATCTTGGACCATGAAAAGTGGTTCAGTTTAGTTTTGCCCTGATAGAGGAAGAGACCCGCGTGAGTGACTCCGAGGTTGAGCAGAATCCCTCCATTCTCCTGAAAGGCAAACAAGTGCTAAAGCATATCAGTATTATTGTAGAGTGTCACTAAACAGCCCTACCAGTATGCAATTTGGCTTCACTCCAACAAAGGGGCCTATTTTGTATGAAATGCAAAAAAATGCATTGAGGGATGCACCGGATGGTGTATCTACAATCACTTTTCATGTTTTCTTTTTATGTGTATTCTCACCGCGCTTTCACAAATTTAACATCAACTCCCCCTTTTGGCGCATCCCGTGGGGCTCAACGTGCTTGGTGCCTATTTAACTCTACTCGACTCTACTCTCCAACCACTCATCAGTTAATAAGTCATGAAAATCAAAACCCCCTTTCCTCTTCTTCCCTAATAATTGGTTTTCGTACATTTTATTAGCAAAAATGCTACCATCATATGGTAGTATTTTCGCGTGGCTTGGAGAGCCAATGGCCTGGCACATATTGTCTGTCCTCCACGCGGTACCTCAAATGATACGCATTTCTTCCCAAAAAAACTAATGAGCCGGAAATTTGGCGCGACATACACTCAGAGATATTAAATTTGTTTCGATAGTAACAGGCTCAATAGTCTGATTGTTTACGCGCCTTACTTGATTCACAGTGATTCTAACCATGTCACTACAACCCTTTTTTGTAAATATTCAATGTGTGGTCAATACTACTCACACCAATATACAAGTCTATTTGACGTACATGACTCTATTTTCATTACGATTTGGTCTGTCTTGCAAACAACAAGCACAGTATTTCTTGTAGGTAAAAATTATGCCAAAATTTATGGCACAGAGAGGGATAAAAGGCTATCGATTCATATGAAATCGATATATTTGATTGTTCTTAGTTACTTCAATTCGCTCGTTGTCTAATAATCTGTGCATTTAAAACAACTCGAAAAACAAGTATAAATAATGACGGTCACTGTGATGTCAGCAAAAAATTTTCTCCTTTAGTGGGCATTGCTTCATAAACAAAACATTTGTGATTCATTATTTAACAAAATTCTCTTTTGATCAGAATTAGTTATTTGACCAGCCTCGACTAAGTACTGACTGTTTTCGAACTTGAAACCTTCGATATAAGATAATGCTGGTCGCGTTCATGGAAGTGACAAGGGTTGAAATACAAAACTCCTCCCCCCCCACACCCCACCCCCAAGAAACAAATTCTATTAATCTGAAGTTCAGGTGGGATTAATTCGAGGAGCGAGAAGGGTTTTTTTTAGAGATCAGTTATCGAGGGTGGAAATCACCTGGCAATTTAGCCGCTTAATTCCTCTCAGGGGAAGACAACAAATAACAACTTTTGTTGGCTTTGAGAGGGAGAGAGAGAGAGGGGATGACAGCGAAAGAGGGGGAGAGAGAGAGAACTTTGCTCAGTGGAGAAACGACAAGCCAATGCAATCGACTTTAAAGTCCCTCTTTGAGCATGAACTTCCCAATAATTTCACCTGAAAAGAAGGTGTTTACCTAGGCAGACAGCAAATAGATTAAATGGACATAAGCATGTGGCTAAAATAAAGCTTTTAGCCAATCGGTAATCGCATAACTATGTTGTTTTTGCAACTTCCCAGTAGGCCTTTATGAAAGTTATAGATTTTCAGTAGTAAGGAAGAGTAAAAGTGGTAATTTATGGGTAAAAGATAATTTTTTCTCATTGACAAAATAGGTTTGAGAGAGGTGATAAATGATTGGCTGCTTAGTTAGCCAATAATCGTAGCGATTACCTCTCCCCAATTGGTATCACATATCCAAATGTGGGTGGGGGGGGGGGGGGGGGGGGGGGGGAGNGAATCGAATGTAAACAATAATTCGGAGCATGAGAGGTGAGAGTTATGGCTTACTCTCGAACTCAACAAAAATTTTCAAATAGTCCTCCTAGTATTTTCATATCGATTTTATATTGCAAATTAGTTTCGAAACGAAATGAATTGTTAGATTAATTGAAAAGTATTTATTTTAGAGGTTAAAACCTGACGCGAATTCTCATTAAGCTTTTGTCTATAAACTACAAACAAGGTTGAAAGAATACAGTGAAAAGAATTAAATTAAAGTTGAGTTTGGTCAAAAAGCACTTCTTAATCACTTATATAGTCAAAATACAGATATGTTAACTAATTGGTAGGCGCCGAAATATACTTTGAATGCCTTTCAAATTGAATTTCTGTCAAATAAGGAGAAACAAATTTGGATACCCATTGATTAAAAGTAAATTGCAGCAAGTGGATGAGCAAGTCAGTAGAAGAAACGGAAGGTGAGTGTCTCAATGAGAGCCATTATGCGTGATTCATTGTGTTTTGAATTAGCATTCAAATCCAAAAGTGGATAAGTTGTAGATGGAAAGGTAAGATCTTACACAATTTGATTGAAAACTGAATCTCCAAACGTCCAAGTAATCGGAAATCTACCCAGTTATTAACACGCCATGATGTCCGAAAATCAGTTATTTTAGAGAGATGATATTGATGAATCACAATAAAAGTGCATAATCAGGTAATTGCAGAGAATATCGAGAAATGCCATTAGAAATTTGATGACCAATGGGTTCTATATTGGTAATATAATAAACCGTAGGTTCACTACCGCGTTTGTATTGCATCAGACGCTGTGCACACTTGCCATGCCGAACGATCCGGGCTCGAGCCCAGTGGGTGGAGTCACCGGCCGCAGTGGTTAAGCCCGACAAATGCGGAGGATGGCAGTATTCGAATTTCGTACAAGGGAGACCTCCACACGATTTCACTCACTTCCTAAGTTCACTCTTTTAAAATGTTCTACCAACTGGGCTTGGGGGTGATTTAAAACTGAATCTCAGATGAGATTTTGTCATTTATGCTTTTCATAAAATCTTTATAAAATAACTTAATAAAGATTTAAATGATTTGTTTTCATTTTTAATAAAATCTTTTTCAAAATCAGACAAAAAATTGCGCTCTTTAGAAGAAATTGTAAATTTGTTCTAAAGCGCACTTTGAAAATATATGCCATAATTGGCAAGTTGGGTGTAGACAAAAGCCTAGAGATTAGAGACGGTATTCCTTGAACAGACGCATGAAAGTAATAATGCGTCTGAGACAAGAGATACTGAATAAGCACAAAAAATGGTGAATTGAGGAGGAGAGGCATTACCCTGGCTGGATGTAGTTTCAGGCCGTAGAACTCCAATTTTCGGGCTGCATCCAATAGGCGATGATAAGCCTCGTCTTCCGACATACCGCTGAAAAGGAAACACAACAACAAAAACAACAAAAATTAGGCAAAAAAAAACAAAGAGTGAAAGAGATGTACAAAGTTCCTTTTATGAATAACTAAAAAAAGGGAAGCCTAAAATGTTGGACAATTTGGTGGATGCATTCCATCCGCTAGTTAACTTGCTTCCATAATTTATTCTGATTTGTTTCTGTTGGCGACTGTTTTCACGATTACCCACTTCGCGGTGTAATTTCAAAACCAGCGTATTGAAATCAGTATCGAACTACAAGAATTTAAATGTCCTTTCCCCAATTTATTAGCCATTTTTGTTTAAAAATCATAAGAATTATTTGATCTATGTGCGGGGTGGGAGTGAGGTTTGACGGCTAAACGCCAATTTTTAGACTGCTAGAAAGAATTGTGCACCTCTATTTTGCGTACAATAAGGTCGTTTATTTCAATTCGCAGTATAATTCTAACCACTTAAACAGCGGCAACTGTTGCAAAATGCATTCGCTCAATGAAAGTCCATTTTACCACTGTGACGCACACGAAATGGCATTATTTTAAATGCATTTGGCCAATTTGTATCCCTCTTGATTCTTCTTAAAGAAGCCCTCCTATTGCTCTTAATGCTGATTCATCCAATTGGCATGTTTGAATATGGAATTATTAATGAATGGCCAACTCACTCTAAATTGCTATGCAAGTCCATTACTTTGGAGAGAAACGCGGAGGAGTACTGTTTGCTCAGTCTTATATTCTCCAGGTACGTCAAAGTTCGCCTGTCCTCCTCCTCACGATCCCCAAGTTCAGCTGGAATAGAAGCCCCAGTCAATTCAATCCGAATGAAAAAAACCCAATGCAGCAATATGATATTTAAAAAAATGGAGAGCAAAGTTGAGAAAAATGGCGAGTCATTCAAGTGCTGGGTGTGGATTATATAAACCATAAACATAAATCCATTTTCACAATATATGTAGAGCCGATTACAGAGAATTTCATAAAGAATAGGAAAAGTGGTTGATGTTGGTACCTGGCTTGTTCCTACATTTGAACGAACGTATTCTTCAATACCTACTAAAAGTAAATTGTCAATAGAATGGTGAATAATGGTGAAATGTCAACATGAACTCCATACAAATAGTATGCAGTGTATGGAGTTCCAGTGGAAGTGTCATGAATATCCGCATGAATAAAGATGAACACAACATCCAAATCCCATTGAAGAAAAGCACTTTTGAGGAGCCATGTTGTATGGAGAGATCAATGCATTTACCTTTTTCTAAATACAGAATACAAGTCGATGGTTATCCACGCTGATTTAAACGATCAGCAATAGAAATTAAAGGATTATAGAATAGCACCGCAAGTCAGATCGAATCATATCAATATTCAGATAGTGAGATCTCAAGTTATGGGAAAATAACTTACACCACAACATGCATTGATAGAAACAATGGGTATTGGAAACACTGGTGTCGAAATTCCAAGTGCCACCGACTTTTTTGAAATACTTTTAATCTTGTAGCACGCAAACGGAAGATTTGAGTAAAGACGGACAAAAAAATCGAGTCAGCCTACCACAGGCTAACAGAGATGCTAATATCAATCTTTGCGGTAGATCTTCAAAGAAACCGAAACTTTTATACCAATTTATCACAGTTTTACGTGGTTATTAATTACAAATTACTACTTGTGAAAGTAGAGAACATTTCCAATTTGAGAATCGAAATGGGAACGATTGGGGTAAACTGTTAGAAAATAATATAAGTATACCTTGTAGAATGAAGGCCGTTAGCAAAGCAGCAGTATTTTCACCACAATTTAGTTCACCATCTATCAAGTCCTTCTTCACTTGCAACGCGAACAGTCGCCTGGAAGGAGTTAAAATAAATGCTCGAATTAACTCCAAATTTATTTATATTCATATGAAAACTGTAGCATTCAAAGTTAAAATTGACTGAAGTATAAGACACGCCAATAGCAAGCATTTATAGGGCAATTATTCATCGATCCAGACAAGGTTTTTTCCGAATTTACAAGAAAGTGAAGAAAAAACAGAAACCCTAACTCGACCATCTCGAATCACTACCAATCATATTTCTCTCCATTTCCCACCCCCTTCTAAATGAAGTAAACATTTTTTTATTAGATCTGATACTTCTGACTTCAAATAAATGTCTATTAATCAACTACAATCAACACTCAATCGGAAATTGCAATTAAGATTTTATATCAAAAGAATATCAGAAGTAATTTCGTAGAGCTTCAAAAAGTTTCTAAAGGAGTAAGACCAACCTTGTTAGCTTGTTCGTTAGGAGGTCAAGATGTGCCGTGTAGAACTTTACTTTAAAGGAAAATTGAGCTGGTTTTCGCAACATTTGTGAAACTGGCTTGTAGATAGGCTTGAAATGGTCTAGCCAACACTAAATAAGCAAGGAAAATTTATTTAGTATTAATAAATGATTAAATGGCAAGTGCTTATAAGATTTCGCATATAAGTAGGAGCAATACCCTATTTCCCATACTGTCTTCATATTCCAAATCGAAGTAATCGGTATCCTCAAGCTGCAAGAGCTGAACAACTAAGTCGAAGAATTCCTGACATGGGCATCTCGGCTATATTAACAATGAGTTAGTAAAATTTTACTTAAATATAAAATCATAGAAACATGTGATCAATTATTTAAACTTACAGACAATATAAAATTTTCTAATCGACCGTCAAGTAAAAGAACACGAACTCGGATTGGCCTTTTGCCGACTGGATGTTTTGGAGAGATAGCACTTCCGCTTGCATGATGATCTTGCATACTAAACGGTAATCAAGAATACCTAAAACGATAAGTCAACATTTTTTGTAATAGGAGTTCATATTTAGTTGAAAATAGATGGTAATTTAAAAAACCAGTGTGATATGTAATTTGTTCAAGAAAGCAAAAATGAAAATCAATTTATATGAGTTTAAACTTTTTGAAAATTATATAACAGATATATTTTAATGTAATTTATGAAATTCATTGAATATTTTACAGAAAATTTTAGAGCAATTGACCAATCACCTTGAATTAAAGAACCGCTATCTGAATGTGCAAGCACTTTAAATATTTAAACGATTCCATGCGTTTTTTTTGATAAAAGACTTTCTAGCACTAGTTCCAAATAAAATAATTTCCACATACATTATTCTACTATATCATGAATATATACCAATTTTGAACTTTATTTATTATTTTTGTAAAAATTGACAATCATGGTTCGTATTCACATTTTACCTTTTAATTCAGAATAATACTGATTATATATTTTGAAAAAAATATAGGAAAATTTCTCTGTTTGTGTAGAATAACACTGATTATATTGATATGTGAATAAATTATTGAATATATTCCCCGGAATATATAATTGATTAATAGTTAGCTTAATTTCAGTGTTTGTGGGTAAATCCAATTTCAAATTTGTGAGGGAACACTAAGCCATGTGCAAGGAATTGTTTCCCGACATTCGTATTGAACAGAGACCAACATGTTTGCACTTACCTAAATCCTACTTTCAACTGCCTTTGGGCTGGCAATTTACATCATGTGCTGTTGCAATAATCTGATTCCTTCAGCAACATGTTCGTGACTTCTGATGACTTAGCAACTGGTACACCAACGACAGTTTTATTTATTTTCATTGACCAGAGTTCGTAATTGGGTTGAAGTAAAGACTCATCCTTTCCACTTATGTTTTGTTTTCCGACATTAATATGTCCGCTCCATTTTTGGATGGATTTTACAGTTAGGCAAGTAGTGATAAGTTGACTCTTTTTATATTTAATTAATTGTTCTTTGAACAGCAGTACCTTCGGAAAGGAATCAAGATGCGGTCTTTATTATTTTCCGAATGATGCTTTATGGCGATAAACTCTGTGATAGTGAAGAATTTCTCTTGACATATAGGTATTTAATTTGCTTGCACTAAAAATCCTATTTTGTGTTTGTTTGAGCCATGTAATGGAGTAAGAGTTTGGGGAAATTAATTTCAATTTGTACTCGCTTCTTGCCAATTAACTCACAATTCCTCTTTCAGAAGTGAAGACAGTTTCCATTGCGGTCGCACTATTTAATTGATCACCTACTACCCATGTCTTCCTGATCTGAAAAGTTCTTCTACAATTTGTTGCTTGTATTGTGGTATCCTTGCTTGTTATAATCTAACTTCTAACCGTCACTTACTTCAAGGGTGTCCAGTGTATATATGAAGGAAAAGTCATTACCCTTTGATCAGGATTAATGCTTGTTGTCATATTAAAGGACTGGTTGGCTCTTCCTATTTTGCATTATAAAATCACCACTCATGTATCGTAATGGATATTTATTAAAAATAGTGCCAAGCATCCTTTCATATTAAAAATTGTAACAATCCAGGTGTGTGCCTGGGGGGGGGGGGGGGGGGGGGGGGGGATTTAATGAAATCAGTAATAAAGAGAATGGGAGGTGTAGGATAATAACGTTCTCTTGCAATCAACGAAAATATTTGAATAAGTTCCTCAACGAACTTCCTATTTACTGATTTTTTAATCTCCTTTGAATTAGCTGAGGTTGCAGGGTTGGGGTGTTACAAAATTTCCTCCAATCAAACGTCAGCTCCCCTAAAAATTTGAACATATGTTAAAGCAAAAGTTATTTTCAACTGATTTTTGCGTGTTTTAAGTGATAGCTTCCTATTTTGTGCTCTTTAATTACATTTTCACAACCGCGATACTTAATCAGTATACACTAATTCTTCTTAGGGGTGTACGATAGACTTACCTCCACGTGGTGCACCCTGGGCAACGTACTTTCTTACGGCAAAAATTCTATCACTCGGCATTCGTTTTTCAATAGACTTACCTCCACGTGGTGCACCCTGGGCAACGTATATTCATACGGCAAAGTCTATTAACTGGTAGTTGACTTCTCCGCATACGGCAAAAAAGTCTATTAACCGGCAGTTTTCTTCTCACTTCAAACTACCATGACCCCCCTATATGTCCTACATTCTCATACGGCAAAAAAGTCTATTAACCGGCATTTGACATGACTTCAAACTACAATCACCCCACTGTATGTCAAATTCGACTACTTGACTTCAAACTACCATCATCCCACTCTATGCCATATTCGTAAATTCGACCACTTCAACAGTACTCATCTTACCTTTTCTCTTCGACTTCTCACTTCAAACTACCATCACCCCACTGTATGTCAAATTCGACCCCTTCCACAGTACTCACCTCACCTTTGCTCTACTGTCGACTTCTTCCACAGTACTAACCTCACCTTTTTTCTACCTATTTCTCACTTCAAACTACCATCACCCCACTGTATGTCATATACCTCTGACTTCAAACTACCATCACCCCACTGTATGTCATATTTCACCACTTCCACAGTACTCACCTCGCCTTTTTTCTACCTTCAGTTGACTCTGACCCCACTGTATGTCATATTCGACTAAGGCAGTTGACTTCTCACTTCAAACTACCACCACCTCATGCACTATGGGCAACGTATACTCATATGGCAAAAAAGTCTATTAACCTGCAGTTGACTTCTGACTTCAAACTACCACGACCCCCAAACTTGTCATATTCGACCCCTTACACAGTACTCACCTTACCTTGTCATATTCGACTACTTTCACAGTACTCACCTCACCTTCTGTACTACCTTTGTGTTTGTCTCTAACATCTCTGAAACACTCTTCTGTTCCCCACCCCCCATCGACTTTCTTCACTTTGATGTTCCTTCTCCTCTGTGAAGTCTGAAGTC